AGAGAGAGAGAGAGAGAGAGAGAGAGTAAGTACATTCACCATCAGAGGGCACGAGCAAACTTTTCCTCCCAGGGCAGGGCAGTCTGACCCCCTGATCCTAGCATTGCAAGTCATTCTTCCACACCGTAAACCATAATATTGGAGGCACGGTATTATATTTGTTTGTCGGTTTAAATAAACGTAGATCTATCCCTCCGAAAACGACCTCCGTCAAACTCATCTTTCATTATAATAGGATTTTCTTGAGTAGAGAAACATCCGTCTTGTCTATAGATCCAAGCCTGCGTTGACGATACTTCACTTACTTTTAAAACTTTTTTCCTTCCTCTAGTGTCCTTAGCGTTGACGACACAACATGAAAAGAACTTATGATAATAATTTTTGCAGATATTTAGCGTATTTTATAGATTTTTAAAGCAAGTGAAAGAGAAATAGCTATAACCATGAAGATAATCGAACTAAAGGGGGGGGGGCCCCTAATGTTAAAACCCCCTTAACATACTTGGGAAAATTGCTTGCGATTTTAAGTTCAAGCTTTTACTGAGAACTCACGAATCGACTTCCTCAATCAATTTAGAATAACTCTTAAAATACTTGAGGATCTAATTGTTCCATTTTCACCATTAGAGCCTAGAGCATAACGCCACTGATTTCGGACACAGGAATTGTTAATAGTTAAAAGTATTTCTTATTGGCTGCTAGTTGTGTCCGTCCTTCCTTTCTACGCACGCACACTATCAATGTATTATTTAGATCTTCCAGCCGGGCCACAGCCAACAACAAATTTGGCTGACTGAAGTAAAGACGAGACGTGCGAGGGGTGAAAAAGAGATTTCTTTTCAAAGGCGAAAAATAATATGGGATCGTGACGTGTTTTGAACGTCAATAAGAGAGGGGTTTTTTTTCGCCTCAGTATACTAGTACTATTATTATATTGGTGTCTTTGTGTTCGTTAGTGTGTATAGGTCAGGAACCTATTGATATAATATTATACCCCGATATGTTAGCAAGTTTGGGAATGCATCTATCTATCTATCTATCTATCTATCTATCTATCTATCTATCTATCTATCTATCTAACTATCGATCGATCGATCGGTCTATCTGTCTATCTGTCTATCTTTATGAATGTCTGTGCGTGTGTGTAGGAGTGTGTGTGTGTGTGAGTGTGCGTGTGTGTGTGTATGAGGGTGAGTGTATGTATGTGTGTAAGTGTGTGCATATATTATGTGTACGTCTCTCTCTCTCTCTCTCTCTCTCTCTCTCTTTCTCTCTCTCTCTCTCTCTCTCTCTCTCTCTCTCTCTGCGTGAGTGCGCGCGCGCGCGCGCGCGCGTGTGTGTGTGTGTGTTTGTGTGTGTTTGTGTGTGTGTGTGTGTGTGTGTTCATGTAAAATTGATTTGAGGGAGGGGGTTCTTGTAAAGAGGAAAAAAACATTCTACTAATACTACTTTCCCCAATTTTTACTCCACCGCACCCTCCCTCCAGAAACCTGTCTTTGACTATCTCTATTCATGCTTCGAAATAGTTCCCCAAAAGACGGTACCGCTTCGACCCAAAACCGTTAGCACGCAGAAGACGCAGTTTGCTCGTGTTATTACTACACAACATTATTCTGTTATTCTAACACGAGGAACTTTCTGGATCACCCGTGGAAATTTGTAAAACGATAGTGATATAAGCCCTGGAGTACTACCAATCGTCTTTATTACATTAATACTATTACCAGCTTGTTGTCTGATGATTTCTTTGTCCAGAATGTCCTTTTCTCTGATACGCTTGACTCTTGTAGTCTCTCTGTTGGCCTTAAGTCATGGAGCGACGTTTACGGGTTGGGCTGAAGACGAAATAAATGGAGACGATCAACAGGGCGAGTTATTCCAGGATTTATTCAAATCTGTGATACAGAATCCTGAGGAATCGAATTCGGACAAGGACGAAGACGACTGCAGCTATGATGGGAAAGATGATTTGTGGCTAAGATGGCCTCCGAAAGCTAAGTTGATTCACGAGTGGATGACAGTGGAGTACAAACTGGGCTGTCCAGGTGTGGAGGAGATACTGGTGGACTACGGCGAGTACGTTCCACACGCAAACTGGGTAGGTTATAATCATCAGGCATGTGTTTATGTGACTGAAGAGGATTTTTTTTTTTACCCTGGTTTTAATTGTCGTTGTTCTATCAAGGATCTGCCTGTTAGGCTACAATTCGATACAGACTTTTTAAATCGCTTATATTTTTTGTATTTCTCTTCTGTTTATTAATATATTGAAGAATCTAATGACATTGGTCTAGGAAAACAATGGAAACATAGTGCAGTCCAATAACAAACTGTAACAGAGTAGTTAATAGTATTGACGCTTATAGAAGAGGAGGTCGGAATGTGAGAAACAGGGGGGGGGGGCGGTTCGGAGAAGGAAAGAGATATAAGAAAGAGAGGAAAAAAAGGGAGAAAGAGGAGAGGGGGAGATGTATATATAGATATATATATATATATATATATATATATATATATATATATATATATATATATATATATATAGAGAGAGAGAGAGAGAGAGAGAGAGAGAGAGAGAGAGAGGAGGGGGGCGGGGATAAGGTTCAAGCCCATGTACACTCTTGTTTAGGTACGCATGTATGAGTGGGTTGTGCATCGTATCGTGTGTATCATTTAGCATAAATATTATACTGACTGCATTTTTGTCGATATTGAATCTTTGTGTGTTAATATTCTGATATATCCACCCCACATTTCCCTCCTGGATCAATTAGCTTTCTTATATTCTCTTATCTTGTCTTTTCTTATGTAATCTTAAGTCTCACCGACGCTCACGTCATCCTCTGAATTTGGCTTTGTCAGAGCTTTAATTATTATTTTTTAGGTCCACTTTCCTTTATCTTACACGGACCTTCTCCTTTGTTTTGTTTTTTTTACTTCTGTTGCTCTGTGTGTATGTCTTTCACGTCACACTCTACTCTCCATTTTCTGCGTCGATTTGCGGGGGAAAGGGGGGGGGGGGGCAAAAACCACTTATCTCTTGGCGAATAAACCCGTCTTTAGAGTACTGATCACCAAAGCGGTTCAAACCAGTGCTTTTTAAAAAAATGTGCTATATCATATAGATATCATACAATATAGTAATATTACGTCAATGGCCTGCTACGTCTCGGCAGACTATCTTATAGTTAGAGCAGTATGTTTGATACAGTTTTATCTGGGCGTTAGAAAAAGAGGAAGTAGATTGCCAAAGTACTACTTCTCTCCCTTCAGCTTTTGACTTCCAAAGGAGAGACGTCTTCAGTAGGTTTGGAATCAACGAAGGTGTAAGGGTGTGTCTTACTTATTTACAGGTGTGGTACGGACCCTTTTTGTGGAAGGGGAAATTTGAACAAAAAATTGTTTGGATGATATACATAATACATGTATATTTGCCACTATCTACGTGTAACTGAAGTGCTTACTCATGGCCAAATTGTTATCATAGTTTGTATAACGTGTGACAGACAAAGAGACAAATTGAATGTATTCACAAGAACAGATCTCGGCGTCTGTTTCATATCAGCTAGTTAGGCGCTTTGCCTTCGCAGGCAGAGAACTGAGTTCGATTCCCTTGTGTGGGTGATGGAAGGGGGGGGGGGGTAAGATTTTTTTTTGAATATCTCGGTCTTTCTGCTGGGACGTTGTATCCTGATAGGCCAGGTCGAAACCTGCCTCCTAATTCGTGAGTAATACGTTCTACCAGTGCAGCTTTTTGAAGTCTCTCACAGTGTAGATGAAGCGTTCACCCTTTTACAGCGCAGCTGAAACCGTCTAAGAGGCCTCCCATTGTCCAGAAAAAAGTTATTGTCTTAGACAAGTTGGCGTCTTATACAATGTCAATACAGATTAAGAAGACATGCAAGGGAGGAAATGGGTAGGGGACGTTTTTACAGAGGATTATCTTATACAGTTGGCTGTTAGAGCAGGCTCGACTGTACTTACATGTGAATCTAAGTTTGATAAAATTAACTTTTGTTCGCTTTCCCCCTCAGATTTCTGGAATCGACGTATATAAAGACGAAGTGTACATCACAGCACCAAGAGTGAAGAACGCCAGAGGCATTCCTTCAGGACTCAACCGGGTGGTAAAAAAAGATGGCAAATCTTTGCTCGAACCTTATCCGAATCTCAGCTGGCACAGACTTGGTCGGTGTTCGGCTCTGCAAATGCCCATGAGTATTGAGATCGATCCAAACTCAGGCTATATGTACGTCATAGACGCAGGGCGAGTGGGAATTACGTCATCAACACCAGGGAACTACTGCCCGGCTAAGATTATGATCCTCAACCTCAATGACAATGGGCGTCTCGTGAGAAGCCATGACCTCCCAGACTCAGTTGTATCTAGAACGTCAAACTTCTTGAACGACATCGTGCTGGACTACGTCACACCAGATGGACCGGAAGTCCGTTACGCGTATATGACCGATACTGGCGATGCGAGTCTGGTCGTGTTTGATTTCCAGAGGAATTCTTCGTGGATTTTCAAAGACAAGTCCATGCAGACAGACGAAAATAGTGTGATGACCATCAATGGAGTAAATTACACACTAAATTTTCCTATCAACGGGATTGCAATGTCTCCAAATTTCGACTACGTCTACTACAGTGTGATTGGGAGCAAAAAGTTGTTCCAAATTCCAACTTCTGTTCTCCGAAACAAAGATGCTGACTTTGGCACGCACGTCAGAGATCTTGGTGAAAAAGCAGGAAGTTCTGATGGTATGATTGCTGGGAAGAAAAACATTTACTATGGAGCACTTGAGAGAAATGCCGTCTATGAGTGAGTATACATTGTTGTTTTGGGTTCTGTTGAGATAATTATACTTGAAAAATGAACAAAGTAAAAGGTGGGAGGCAGGGGGAGGTTGAGTTGGGTTGGGTTTTTTTATTGGGGGGGGGGGTTATTTCGTTTGTCACAGTCACAGACAGTTAGTGCCCTTTCTTCTTTTCTTACTTTTTAAAGCCAAAGAAAGCCAACCAAACGGTAGGTTTCCGTAGGATTTTCCTTTCACGTGATGTTTAATGAATTGACGAAAGATGTGTCACTGAATATGCGAGGCAGAGAGATGGGTTTTGTGTCAGGACTTTGACCTGTTCTTTCAGCACAGTACCTTACAACATTGTTGTTTTTTTGTCATACAGAGTGTTGAACAAATCCGTTATCATGTTGTTGTTGTCGTTGATGTTGCTGCTGACAACATGACAGCAGCAGCAGCATTAGTAGTAGTAGTAGTAGTAGTAGTAGTAGTAGAAGTAGTAGTAGTAGTAGTAGTAGTAGTAGTAGTAGTAGTAGTAGTAGTAGTAGTAGTAGTAGTAGTAGTAGTAGTAGTAGTGTTGTTGTTGTTGTTGATGATGATGATGATGATGATGATGATGATGATGATGATGATGATGATGATGATGATGATGATGATGATGATGATGATGATGATGATGATGTCATCGTCGTTGTTTGTTTTCGTAAAATTCTTTCGTTCTAGTTGCTGTTGCTTCCGTCGACTGCTGGTCATGAAGACGAACCTGCTATAATCAGACTGAACTGTTTAAGTTTACCTTCATCCGTATTTGTAGCTAGTTTTTGTTGCCGTCGCGATTTGTTCATTGTTAGGATAGACACATTCTAGTCGCCCCTCTTGATCTTATCAATACGTGTATTATCTATTATCTGGTTTTAGCCTTTGAACTGGAATGTTAGTGTAGGTTCAGCACGCTCTCGTGTTTTCTTTTCTATCATCCCTACTACTCCCCCCCCCCCCCCAGCTCCCCGTACTTCTTTTTCCCCCTCTTCAAGTCTATAACCACATCATCTAGGAAAGGAAATAATCACCTTCTTTTTAAAAAAAAATTTTATAGTAGAGGGTTTTACGGCGCTCGCATCTACATACGGTCATATGAGCGCCAAATCACCATCTCTACTGTCACCATCATTATGATCATCATCATCATCATCGTCGTCGTCTTCGTCATCGTCATCATTCTCATCATCATCATCATCATCATCATCATCACCACCAGTGAAGTTATTTATCTTCCACACTCACATATCGCTGCAATCCCCACCACCACCATGCAGTAATAACCATACGTATTCCCTTTCACCAGATGGCAGCGTAGCAGAGACATAGAGTCGCAAAAAGTTTCAGAGGGTCAAGTAAATGTGACCCACGAGAGGAAACTGGACTCCGACCACGTGACCATGCAGTGGCCTGACAGTTTCACGCTGGACGTCAAAGGCTACCTCTGGTTCACCTCGGAGAGAGCGCAGCTCTTTCTCAACAACAAAATGGACTTTTCTGGGAGCCAGGGCGCCAATTTCCGAATATTCAGGATATACGTTGATGACGTCAGCTACCTGACAAAGCCGAAGAATGTTAAACAATGGTGGGACTGGTGAATATTGATGAACCCGTGCCAGTAATCACTATCATAATTTTTTCGAAACGGGTTTGATAATAGCATAATTTGAGAGCAAAAATAAATTTATCTTATATATATTGTATTATCAATTCTTTGGAAACTTTTCAATTGTTTTGGGTTTATATGTCGTATGTTATAATATATAAAAAATACTTCATCTAAACAATAAGTATACTGCTTTATTACTAATGGCTAAGTTTCATCAGCACTTGATTATTGTGATTCTTTGTTATCAGGAATATTGCAAGAAAAAAAAGAACAAATTTCAAACTGTTCAAAACAATACTGCACGTTTAGTTTTACAGAAAAGAAAGCGAGACTGTGCTACACCTCTTTTAGTTTACGTACACTGCACTTTCTTCATGTTGAGAAAAGCATTATTTATAAGTTGGCCACTCTATGTCACAATCGTGAATGATATTAAGCCACAAAACTGCTCAAATTGCATTCCAATTACCTGAAATCTATAAGGTCATCAATAGACATAAATAAATTACATTTCTGTACTTTTACCAGCTATGAAACTTCAAACAATGGGTGGAAGGCCATTTCCATGTCATGACCCCAAGATCAGGAATGTTTTACCCAGTCAGTAACAAGAGATCAGATCTTTTTTAATTCATTGAAACCTCAACAAAAGTCATTTTCTCAGCTATAAAATAATATAGAGATTTTTTGTGAGAACTCAGTGAACTGTTTATGTGTTGCTATTTCATTTGTAAAGCGCTCAGAGCCTGTGTATTTTAATTGAGGTTGAGCGGTTTATAAATGTTATTATATTATTATCATTTATTATTACAAATTCGATAGAAATTACATGAGAATCCAACTTGGGTCTTCTAAGTGCAACTGCCTGGCGCCTAATCTCTACACAACAGACGGAGAGAGAGAGAGAGAGAGAGAGAGAGAGAGAGAGAGAGAGAGAGAGAGAGAGAGAGACAGACAGAGAGAGACTGAGAGAGAGAGAGATTGAGTGTGTGTGTGTGAGTGCGTGCGCGCGCGCGCGCGCGTGTGTGTGTGTGTGTGTGTGTGTGTGTGTGTATGTGTGAGTGTGTGTGTGTGTGTGTGTGTGTGTGTGTGTGAGTGTGACTTCTCTGACTTTTTCAACTGTCTTTTGGCTCCTCTTGATTTACAAAATATACGAGTAGACACAGACTGACAAAACTGTTTAAGACGCATTAATATGTTCGTTGTCTGTGGGATAAACTTTTTCCAACGCGAAAATATGCATGGTCTGACCCTTACTAGTACTCTAGCAACAGCAAGTACTATGAGCTGCCACTTGAATCCCGTTTGCAGCTGGTAAAAAAGAGCAAATTACATTTGTAGTTCCGCCAAATTTTCACCTTACTATTTGAACAGCCCTGGTGTGTCATTTCAAATCAGGGGTACAAGATTAAGAGTAAAGAGACCTTATACCTAAATAAATATCATTTACATACATCTGAGTTTTGAGTTTGAGTCCTACAGAGAAGCACATTGACAAGTGAACGGACATATAGTGCACGAAAAAAGAAAGACAGATAGAAGAAACAACAGAGAGAAAGAAAAGTAGAACCTACCAGTGGCGCCCTGTGACCACATACATCAGAGCAGTGACATTCACTAATTTGTCCAGACAGTCCCACTCTTTTTTAAGCTTCTTGCTTTGTAAGAGTTTTACGGCACTTGCATCACAATAAGGTCATATATATGCCAAAGATTAGAGGTGTTACAAAAGAGTAACAAACATAAAAAGAAAGGAGGAGAGATCAGGATGATAGATGTTTGATAGCAAAGAGGCAACAAATCACACCAGA